ACGGATCGGCCTGAAATTTGACATGCAGGTAGATGTTATGACGTAGGCATCCGCTAAGAAAGGATTTTGATCAATTCTACCCCCAAGGGGATAAAATAGGGAATGAAAGTTTGTATGAAACTTTGTCAATTTTAAACCGATCGGGCTGAGATTTTACATGCAGGTATAAGAAGAATCATAGATGAATGTCATTGTGTATAAAACAAGCCTGAGAAAAAAAACTGTAGTCTACACTTCAGCTCTACACCTAAGCGAAGCGAGGGCGGGCCGCTAGTAATATATATATACACGAATTTTATTTCATCCGTTGCGGTAAGAATTTGTTTTAGTATAGCACAATAGAATAAAATTGTTAACAGGCAAATATGAATTCATGTGTGAACAATAGCGTCCGTGGAGCGAGCTCCGACGGCGGCGACGACGTGACATCACGTCTTAATGCGGTGTGACACAACAACAATGGCAGCCCGCTATACCGCCGCGCACAGTACCCAACTTAGGGGTTTTGCCCCCAGATTTAGGGGCTAGATGTGTTAATTGGAACTACTACTATCGTTTTCATTAAATTATTTGGGAGATACGAGTACTTGAGACACATATTAAATAACTTAGAGAGCTTAGAGCAAAGCATACCGCCTGCGTGTAATAAGTTCTCAATGCTCAGCTCGTCATGACCTGGTGATTTACCTCGCGCCATAGAGGTTATAACTTTAACCACGTCTTCCTCACTAAAACGAATGGTAGTTTTCGGACAGACAGCTACCCTAACAGACTTGTTCGAGGTGAGCAAGCATGAAACAGGTAAGGGAGCAGTTTTAAAATTTTCAGCAAATAAACTAGCTATCTGGACCTTATTCTGCAAGCCGTCGACGCTAACTGGTAAGTTTTGCTTTATGTTCATTTTCTTTATGTTATGTTAAAACGGACTTTTTTAGGGGCTAGAATTTTTTGGGGGTTCTTTTAGGGGCTTTTATCAAAACTTGCAATTAAATCGAAAAACAAAGCGTGTGTTTTCTTTCAGTTTTGTGCGTAGAATGGAACGCACCAAGACATGAAACGACTGAACTGACTGTGTGGCGGCTTGTTTCCTAAGGCTGTATGGACTTAAGTTAAAAAAAAAACTAAATAATATTTAACAGTCTGTCAGCTCATTTTCGTTTGATTGTTCTTTCGGAAACTGTATTTATTCAATAAAATATTTTACTGTAACTAATTAAGTAACATTTTAATTTATGAGCAACGAAATAATTTGGGTAATAAGTAGGTACTTAAAAATTGTATATTTAGGGGATTTTAGGGGAATTTAAAAAATAATTAGCGGTAAATTTTGGTAAGGGTTGGTAACACTGCCGCCGCGCCGCGCCGAGCGGGGTTTTTGGCGGGATTTCATAGAGTGTGGTTGGCGTCTTATTTTAATTATTCTTAAATTCGTTCATAGTGGATATTGTGAAATAAAATTGGTATGATTTTGTGTTACAACTGTCTGCGTAACTGAAGAATTATTAGGATCGTCAAAATATTCGCTATTCCGGTCAAGTAGACGTGAGAATTTTATTGTAGTATTGACTACCTCTCAGAAGCTTATCGAAAAAGCCAGCTCGATACATTTTGTCACACCGACATTCTAATGTAAAAAGAAAATCAGAATAATTTAACTTAAGACTAGGCTGTATGGGCATTGTTCCCCTTGCCTTCCCAGAAAGGGGAGAATTTAACAAAAAAAAAAAGCCTCGCCGAGCCGAGTCGGACGATCTGTTGCTCTTCCACGAGCTGTCGGAACCGGCCCTGCTGCGTCGCTCCACGATGGCCTTCACTCGATGGCCTTTCTATCCTACGTCCTATACGTCACTTCTAAAATGCACCAATAGCGGTGCTCATTTTTGACGAAACGTTTAATTAACAGATATTGGACTCGATTTCAATACCTAGCTGATTTACCATTAATAAAAAAAAATATATAACGCCACTAAATAATAAAGGCAACTGTTGATGACAATTTCGCTGTTCGCTAAACCAATTTTATTCAGAAACAGACATCATTCAATTGGTTACGTTCTCGACGTCTCTCGATTGTCGTATTATACGACGACAGGTGGATACGATATTAGAGGCGCGGTTCGCTTCATAGAATGATCGGCGCGCGCAATTACATCAGTTGCGCAATCTTAACAAGACTTGTCGCAAACCACGCTTCAAAAGTAGCGCAAGCGGCTGCCGAACTATCCGACACTAATTCACTGATATATTTACGACGCGACCTGTTACACGAAACTAATAAAGTACAAGCGTCAGAACAAGGTCAACACATACCTACCAGTACTTTTCACTAACGTTCTTTGAAATTAATTTGGGATTTCCTCGATGATGTCATCCTCGTTCGGATATTACCACTAACATTCACAAACTAGAATCGCGATTCTGTATTGATATATTATTATGTTAAATATATTTTATTGTAAAATATATCATAGTGTACCTTGTTCTAAACAATGTACAGATGCACACTACATGTTAGTCACAATAGGGGTGATGACGGGGTACACTAAACGAAATTCTATTTAGTCCGTCAGTTAGATGATCAAAAAATAATGGACACGTATTTTTTCTTTGGGCAATCAGCCAAAAAATGACAAAGTTATAGCGCGTCAAAGTTTGGGAGTAGGGGCTCGTGACGTCACTTTTGAGTGAATTTCACTTATAAGTGTACTCAAACGTGACGTCATGCGACTTTGCAAATCAATATATCTCTGCAATATTTATATCATGTGAAAAAAGAAAAAATACGTATCCAATACTTTTTGATAATCTACTTGATAAACGAAGAAAAAAAAATTAGTCATCATCCCTATTTGACCGACTTTAAAAAATTACATACAAAACTATGAGCGTAATATCTGCTAATATATCAATATAGAATGTAGTTAATGAGCTGTAGTATTAACCGTAACGGTGATAATCGAATTGCGAGCATTCCAATATTGTTGTTATGCGTTAGAAAGTTCGACGGCGAGCAGGTGGCGTCACCGCGCGCCGCGCGACCGACAGCGTTCGCGACAACTAATGTAATATTATCATGTTCCGCCTACAACTCCTACCCTACTTCTGATATATAAGAATAACTAGCTGACCAAGCGAACTTCGTACCGCCATAAAAAAATAGGGGTTGGTGGTAGAAAGTTGAAAATTTAGGGATGTATGTATTTTTGTATGATGTATCATAAAAAAAAATTAAAAAAAAATTTAGGGGTGGATTACCCTTAACATTTAGGGGGATGAAAAATAGATGTTGTCCGATTCTCAGACCTACCCAATATGCACACAAAATTTCATGAGAATCGGGAAAGCCGTTTCGGAGGAGTTTAACCACAAACACCGCGACACGAGAATTTTATATATTAGACTAGCTGACCCAGCGAACTTCGTACCGCCATGAAAAAATAGGGGTTGGTGGTAGAAGGGTGAATATTTAGGGTTATATGTATTTACTAATGCTGTATCATAAAAAAAAATAAAAAAATAAATAAAAAAATATATCAAAAAAATAAAAATAAAATAGGGGTGGATTACCCTTAACATTTAGGGGGATGAAAAATAGATGTTATGCGATTCTCAGACCTACCCAATATGCACACAAAATTTCATGAGAATCGGGAAAGCCGTTTCGGGGGTTTAACCACAAACACCGCGACACGAGAATTTTATACATTAGATAATAATGGATTAAAATCTCAACTTCTCTATTTCTTATCATATCAATGTGACGAATTGGAGCATATTCCGCGATGTAATTATGTCGCTCAATGTATAGCCATTGTTATAGGTAATGCTTCGAAAATGTTCAACTTTTAATCAAATTAAGTTTCGTCCGCGCGACTCTGCCATTTTGCCATTTTTGAGTCCTGCGTGGTTAACAGATGGCTTTGCACGAGACAACTTTATTTCGACCTACGTTTCTTAGGAAAATATTTTATTAATTTATTGTGTAGGCGTGTGTGAAGTTAGATATCTACTGTGTGATGCGGCTAGGTTAGTTAAGATTATGATAGCTCCTTTGTACACATCTCCACGCAAATCTTCGATACCTGATGACTTTTATCTCTAATCGACTACCGTAGGTCAAAACAAAACGTCGGCAACGAGTGCATGTCTACGAACCTCTATGAATTTGTTCTGCGGTAGTCGTTCAGGGATCATAGTCGTCAGGGTTCAGTCGTTGGCGCCCTCCACCGTGATGTTGGGGCGCCTCCAGTGTGTGCTGTGTGAGGGTTACACTCACGCGTGGTGAAGTTGCGCGAGGCGTAGGCGGCGCTCTCCTTGTCGTGCAGCAGCCAGTGTTTCCACAATGAGGGGAAATTCCTCTTTTAAGGGGAAACTAGAGTCCAGAGGGGAAGAAAAAGGGGAAAGACATGAAAATGGGAAATTGTGGGAAATTATGCAGCACGGAACGGACTATACCGTGGACTAGAGTGTTGCCGTATAAAAGAAACTAGCAGCACGTGCAGATTTTATATATTTTATTTATCTATTAAAGAATAAGATAGATTAAGACCTTTTTTTTCTTTAGTTACTAACACTAGTGCCAAATCTAAAAACTCCAGCAAAATAATTTTTGAGGGGAAAAATGTCCTAAGAAGGAGAAATCTGAATTGAGGCGTGGGGAAAGGCAATCATTAAAGTGGAAACACTGGCAGCAGCGTGAAGGCGTGCAGCTGGTAGGTGGCGCCGGGCGACAGATCGCGCAGCGTGTGCGTCCAGTCGTTGGCGCCCTCCACCGTGATGTTGGGGCGCCTCCAGTGTGTGCTGTGTGAGGGTTACACTCACGCGTGGTGAAGTTGCGCGAGGCGTAGGCGGCGCTCTCCTTGTCGTGCAGCAGCGTGAAGGCGTGCAGCTGGTAGGTGGCGCCGGGCGACAGGTCGCGCAGCGTGTGCGTCCAGTCGTTGGCGCCCTCCACCGTGATGTTGGGGCGCCTCCAGTGTGTGCTGTGCGAGGGTTACACTCACGCGTGGTGAAGTTGCGCGAGGCGTAGGCGGCGCTCTCCTTGTCGTGCAGCAGCGTGAAGGCGTGCAGCTGGTAGGTGGCGCCGGGCGACAGGTCGCGCAGCGTGTGCGTCCAGTTGTTGGCGCCCTCCACCGTGATGTTACGCGCGCCGCCCTCAGACCGCTCCGTCAGCGGGATCACCTGGCCCACACAACCACATCATACTGTGGCTAAACTCTCAACGACCAAGGAGCCAAGAAGCCAATTTTTATCTTTATAGATTTATCTAGTGCACTGGTAACTAATCGGCTACTTAAATAGATTTCTTCAAATGCAAACTGAACAGATTTAGCAGTTAAATAAGTAAATAACTACCTAATAGACTCTCGTCTGTGAGGCATGTCACCTGAACTAAATTAAATAGCATACGCTAGAACATCTTTACCTATTTTCTTAGCAAGATTCGATTTTAGAATTGTATATTAAAATAATGGTCGAACCTTGAACCGGAAGCCGGTGTAGTCGCCGAGCGCGGGCGGCGACCAGCCGATAGTGGCCTGCTTGTTGCGTCCCAGCGTCACCGTCAGGTTGGTAGGAGGTTCCGGTGCTGCCGAACACTCATTACTTAGGAGCTATACAATGCCACTTTTGCTTACTGACAGATAATTTTGATTTTACCACTTATGAACTGAAAATGTAACTAGTATAAAAAAAAAGAGACCACAGAAACTTCCGAATACAACTGTACTGTGCAGAAATTTGATTTATGGGGTATTCATTGATTTTCAGTCAGACAAACTCATGATTACCAAACAGAGAGCGAGGCAAGAAAATTATTACTGTTGATAAACTGTAAAACTTAGAACTTCTTTATTATTCTTAATAATGAATCGATTATGATGCAAGCATTACCAGTGATGATAGTCTGATTCCACGTAAGGAGGTCTGCGAAGGTAGCGTTGGAATAATATAGCATGAAGTGGTATTTGGTGCCAGGCAGGCCCTGGAAGTTGATGGTGGAGGCGCGCGCTGGCACGGTGTGGTTGGGGGCGGGCGAGCCGTGTGGAGGCCGGTAGTCCAGCCGGTACACGCCGCCTTCCGCGCCAGACCCCGACCCCGGGCCTGCCCCCACGCCCGACCCGGGGATCTCGATCACTAGTTCCGCACACTTGCCCCCACCACATGACACCTACCAATACGACAAATCGCCTATAGGGTTTGCTATCAATTATTAACAATATATTATTAATTATATAATATAATAAATAAAGAAATAAACATATGTATATGACAAAAATCATCACGAGTGTCAATGCCTCGAACGTATGAAGAAACTGAATCTTTATTGTACCGTATTTCATAAATGACATAAAACAATGTATAAAATTAAACACACACACACACGCATAAAGACACAAACACACACGCACACATGGCACACAACATCTGCTTAACCTTTCTTAATTGCAAATACTTTTGCTTAGCTTTAAGTCCTATTAATGGGACTTAATGATCCTAAGATTATTTTCAGTGTAGATCGTCTGTTTATTGTTTTGTTTTACTTTATTTTAGTTCATTCTTTCTTTTTGTTTTTTGCATGTTCATTTGTTCATTCACTGTAACCATATGCACTTTGTAAATCACATTATTATAATAGTTAAGGAAGAGCGGAGCCTCCAAACACAGGCAATATTTGCTTAAATGGAGACTCCAATCGATCATTTTGTTAAGAAGGCTATTGTTAAGGAAAATAAATTATTATTATTAACATTAAGACAAAATATAAATGTTTTGCTTGCTGTTTTGCAGCATTAATAAGAAATTAATGGAAATAAGCAACCATTTTTCAGCAGACAATCTCAACAATGGTCACTAATGTCATTGGGCAGCATGATTTTACTCATGGCAAGTGGACATATCTCAAAGGAATTTGCCTCTTGTGTATAAAAGCACAAATGGTTAGGTCTGACTTGTACATTTTTCTGCTCAAGTGCAATTAATAAGTTAGCCAGATAAGTGATAGTCATATTAAAAATATGACCCACTGGCAGACCCGTCTTTCCCAGTGGGCACTTTGGGCAAGTGCCCAGGGCCCCGCGATCAGTAGAGGCCGCGATCAGATCAAATACAAAGTCCCTAGTTCATAGGGGCCCCATTATCCTAATATGCCCAGGGCCTCCAATAGGTCAAAAAACGGCACTGCCCACTGGATATGTTTATTCAGGTACAGTCAAACAGAACAGTTGCTCTAAGCCCCAGAAGCTCAAATGCATGACAAGTTTCAGTTGAAAAATATCTGTAATAAGAGAAAGCACCCACCAAAGGGTGCTCAGATTATTTCATTCTACCTGATTGAGGATTTAGCCAGTCATTGGTTTATTTGTACATAAACAGCAGAAAGCTTAAGTTATTATTAGAACAAAATCAATTTAAATAAACCGCTACTCATAAATATGGAAAATAGTTTTTAATTTATTAGTTTGCATTTATCTTTTGCAAACTATTTTAGTAGTATTAAAAGTATATGAATTTCTAGTCATTAATTACTACATATATACTTTAAGTAGTTAAAAAGATGCATTTCCTTAAATAATGGAATTAAGGGAAATGAAAGCATATTTTTAATAAATATTTGAGATCCTGACACATCTCATAAAAATGTGAAAGGGAAAAGGAATGTGTTTTTGAACAAGAAAACATAAAAATACCAAAGAAATCTGAACTAGAAAATTTTTCACGCGGATCAGGCAGCAGACGGGACTAAAACCCACTTCTCTTCGCTAAAAACAAACTATAACTATAAAAATACTGCTTTTGATATTATTAATTTCTCACGTTTTTTTATTTACACTAAGAAGTAGCAAAACTTCTTTGCATTTGCAAGAATAATCCTTCTAAATTTAAACTTAATAAATTAATAACATCCATAAACACAACAATCATTAAATTTATAAGGATATTGTTTTGTAATCTTTACAATTTATAGTTAAAAATATTGGTATAGTAAGCGTTAGCTGGTGAAAACATACAAAAACAACGAAGAGTCCTAGAGCCAGGGCCGCGGCTGCGCGAGCGCAGCCAGCCTTCGCTTGCACAATCGGCCCCTTCCACATCATTGAAGGCAACTCTCGGATTTCACACGACACTTTCTCCTTTAAATCTTCCACATTTTCATGTAAAGAGTGCATGATTCACTCGATTTATTGATTTAAGTCGTAACATTATAATGAAATAAACATTCCCTTCAGTTAAATTACACGAACTAGCTAAACATTGCTTTCGCGATTCTTCAATACTTTTGCCACTTGCCTTTGTATTCAGAATTTGACATTGACAACTGTTGCCAAATCAATGTTTTTGTATTTATCCCTTTAATATTAAGCAAAGGATACTGCTTTCATATAATCTCACGTTAAGTTTTTAATGATAAAAAATACTTTTCTATTAGTTCATCGAATATACTCTACAGAATATATTTATTTATTGTTTTCATGACGACACCAACAGCAAGCCCTCGTTAAAAGGGGTCTTACTTATTTAAATAGAAATAGTGTCGATTCTGGCATATTGTAATATTTAATTTTATGTTTGGAGAATCATCTCTAAACTTAAAATTAAATATTACAACACTTAGTAACTTTGACAACGGTGTATCCTTGTCTGATGTTATTTTTTTATTATTATTGCACTAATTAGGCACAATTTAATTGCATAAGTAATAACCTTGAACTCGAAGTGGTGTACGTTGGCATGACAGACACAAGAATTACTGAAATCTTTAAATTAAAATATACGCTTTATTCTGGTCAAGTGGATCTGAGAACTTTATTGTAGGGTTGACTATCTCACAGAAGGTTATCGGAAAATTTAAGTCAATAAATTTCGTGCTAAACACTCCAAGAAACATTAGAATGCGTCACATCGACATTCTAATGCAATGTAATAAAAGATTCATAAAATTAAGACTAGGCTGTACCGGCCGTGTTCTCTTTGTCATTCCAAAAACGGAAAAATGTTAAAAGAAACTGGTCTGTTCCGTTATTTGTAGTGTGCCCAGATTCAGTATTTTAATACTTTTTAGGTATATTTTAAACGACTTTTTGGAGCGTCATTATTTTTGTAGGTATATTTTAATTCATTTAAGCTCAGTGGTCAGCAAGTTACTAATAGGACATGACAAAGAGCCTCCATACCAAAATTACGAATACTAGTATCGAATCATCTAAGAGCTAAGACGATTTAAGTGAAACGATTTTCTTTTCTGCAGAGCGGTTGGCTTATCTTTGAATTGATTCAGGAATTTTTCCTAAGTGGTACCATGTGTTTTTAGTCGTCATATAAATAGAGCGCGTGTTCTTCATTGTTATAAATAAATCACCTTATAGTTAACAAGTGGTATCCCAAACAGGCGCGGTCGCAGCCTGAAATTTTGGAGGGGGTCACTCACTACACTAGTAAAAAAAACCGGCCAAGTGTGAGTCGAACTCGCGCACCGAGGGTTCCGTACACACCTGAATTTACAAAAACATTTTGTTATTATATGATGTAACCAAAAATTTGCGGTTTTCGTACAACTTTATCTGTACTATAAGACGTTACTTTTTACCAAATTTCAAGATTCTAAGTTCACGGGAAGTAACATGTAGGTTTTGATTCCCGTGCGAGTTTCGAAAATTTGCGGAAATTTGAGGCATAAACGGCTGTATCTTTTGATTGCTTTGGTTTAAAAGTTCGGTTTTTTCACAGCTCCAAGGGACAGTATACCTGAGTATTAGATATGAATTACAGTTTGATACCTCCACGCGTTCCTGAGAAAAACGTTCTTGACAGAAGGACGGACGGACGGACGGATAACAAAGTGATACTATAAGGGTTCCATTTTTCCTTTTGAGGTACGGAACCCTAAAAATAGGTATCTGGAATAAAATAAACATTATTGCACAAGACAGAATTTTATACATTACTTATAAAACAAAATGGAAGTCGTCTTTTGTATTTGAGAATCGGGTGATAATATTTGAGACGTCTGGTACTATTTCCAGGTGAACGTTTAGAAGAGCTAAATCTGTTAATCGGTCTTCTAACATATTAGCTCTCAACCACGTTTTTACAGCCTTTATCTTGAATCTTTACAATAAACCGACAAATTACATTATTAGAATATTGTTATACAATCTTTATCATAACGACGCATATCGATTTTGCTAGGATTACCAAAACTACGTAGTTCGGTTCGGTTCCTTGTTTCTAAACTAGTACTAGATGTCGTTTCCAAGTTATTTTGGCCATCGTACGTAGTTCATAAAAACACCACTAGATGTCAGCAAACTATAAATTTATCGCTGTTAGGAGATAGCTAGAAATTTCCTTTTATTATTTTGCAAATTTAAGAGATTATTTAATTTGACCTTAGATTTTGGGGGGGCCCTTCGGACCGCGCCTTATCCCAAATCCCACAGGTATCCTCAATGTCTCAATCCAGGTCCAAATCTATATGCGTACCAAATTTCCATTCAGTAATTTTTGCGTGATTGAGTAACAAACAACAAACAAATGAACTTTCACCTTTATAAGTAGGATATTTAGTATATAATATAGTTAAATAGAAAAATATGTGTGATTAATTTCAGTTAATCTCTGTTAAAATGTATATCAGTGTCGAATGTTGCACGTGAGCCCACATTTTCACAGATTTATAAACAAAAATGTGTTGTAGAATGAATAAAATCTATTTTGAAGATCAGTATTTTTATTGGTATATTTTTTCTGGGAAATATATTGTTTTAAACTTTCATGGTCATTAACATTACAGTAATATAAGTTTTTTACGGGATTGTTACCATGTACCTTGTTTTTAGCGAGTTTCCGATATTTCGGCACTGTTGCAAGCGCCATGATCACGGAGTAACTGAAGTAATTGCGGGTAGGCTGTTTATTGACAGACATATCGGTCTACCCTCCGACAAAGTCTTTTATTGCGTTCGATACCCGTACCACTGTTCACCTTCTCACTATTCACTCGAAACTGTCCTCGACACACAACACTTACAGTATCGGGTCGCGACACGACACTTTTTAGATTATTTCCGGTTTTACACATACGAACCTCAGGATTCCAGACACTCGACAATTTAAACCCGTCCTCACGATAGAAATTTTTATGTTTTGTTATTTCAATCGCTTCCCTATAAACTATGGAAGAGGTATGTCGATGACGTATTCTGTATATTAAGAGGTAACAAACATGATGTCGAGTCTCACTTGGCAAATTTAAATGGTATCCATTCTAAAATCAACTTTACCTATGAGATGGAAGAAGACAGAAGTCTGGCCTTTCTGGACGTGAAGATTCGGGTGAGGAATGACGGTTCGCTTGGTCATTTCATTTACCGCAATTTAAACCCGTCCTCACGATTGAAATTTTTATGTTTGATTATTTCAATCGCTTTCCTGACCAATCTTGGTATGTAGTGGCGTTCTGTCGAGATAATCTATGGGTTATGAAACTCAATCCAGTGGTTAGGACCAGAATCAATCAAATGTTCCGCGAAAGCTAATTTCTGCGTATCGTTGTTCTTGATTGCTTTTATGTGTTCCCTTATTCGGCATGATACTGTTCGCTTTGTTTGGCCAATGTACGAACTGCCACAGCTACAATCAATCTTATAGACAGGTTTCTCCAAGGGGAAGTTGTCTTTAGGAGACCGTAGGTATTGTGAAACCTTTCGCACAGGAGTGAAGACAGTGTTTAGTCAGTACTTATTCAGTATGTTTGAGATCTTGTCAGTCACTCCTTTGACGTAAGGCAAATAAACAGGTTGTCTGTCTACTCTGTGTCTCTGGTGTCTTATTTTGTGTCTAGATGGAAAATGTCCCTGGTATCCATTACTCTGTAAGACTCGTCGTATATACTCCAACTCTTCTTGAAGATGTTCCTCATCACACAGGTCGTCAGTGAAGTCACTACAGAGTTAAGATGTTTAGGGTGGTGATGCGAGGAGGCGTTGAAATAGTGGTCAGTGTGTGTAGATTTGCGGTAAATGAAATGACCAAGCGAACCGTCATTCCTCACCCGAATCTTCACGTCCAGAAAGGCCAGACTTCTGTCTTCTTCCATCTCATAGGTAAAGTTGATTTTAGAATGGATACCATTTAAATTTTCCAAGTGAGACTCGACAGCATGTTTGTTACCTCTTAATATACAGAATACGTCATCGACATACCTCTTCCATAGTTTATAGGGAAGCGATTGAAATAACAAAACATAAAAATTTCAATCGTGAGGACGGGTTTAAATTGTCGAGTGTCTGGAATCCCGTGGTTCGTATGTGTAAAACCGGAAATAATCTAAAAAGTGTCGTGTCGCGATCCGATACTGTAAGTGTTGTGTGTCGAGAACAGTTTCGAGTGAATAGTGAGAATGTGAACAGTGGTACGGGTATCGAACGCAATAAAAGACTTCGTCGGAGGGTAGACCGATATGTCTGCCAATAAACAGCGTACCCGCAATTACTTCAGTTACTCCGGTGATCATGGCGCTTGCAACAGTGCCGAAATATCGGAAACTCGCTAAAAACAAGGTACATGGTAACAATCACGTATATAACTTATATTCTCTGGGAAAGTCAAGTAATTCAGTATTTTTTAAGGTGCTTCGGTGTTTTCGTAAAATTTATTCTGGTCACACTGGTTGTTTGACTTGTTGTGTGGCAGTGCTGTGTTCGGCTAAAGGATTGAGTATCCAAACAGTGTTGCCAACTCTACGTCTTTTTACGTAGATCTACGTATTTTAGGCCTTTTCTGGAAACCTACTAACTTCAGTCCCAGAATCTACGTATTTTCTTATTTTTTTTCAAATTTGTAAAATAACTTAATTCACTAGAATAAAGAAGAATATTTTCCGTTACTTTACTTAAAAACTATACAAATGTTTATTTCTTATAAAGATGTATCTAAACACTCTTGTATCTTGTAGAAAAGGTTCCCGTTATTGGTTTTGTTGACTAAATTAATGCTGGACGCAGGATTTGTGAAAGCAGAAACGACAAAACTCTTTGACCTTGTAGGTACATTCATAACCTTAAAAATTGAATTTTTAAACTTTTACTACTATCTATGAGTACCTACTCACATCGAATTGATCTTTGCAAAAAGAAAAGACTTTCAGTCGATAAAGTTACAGGATTTAGCAAGTTTTAAGCATATGTTCATGTGTAAGTATGTTTTTTCTCTTGGCAATTTAAACCACAACTTTTCTAGAGTCTTTTACCAAGTGTATCATGATAACTACTATATTTTTCATGTGATCTATTAGAAATCATGGTTTTATAATATTAACTTAGCTGTTTATTTCCTACGAAAAATTATTATATTATTTTTTATTTTTTTTATTTTCTTGCTTGCGAGTGTTTGTTTACAAATGTTTTGACGTCATAGCATAGATAAGTCTATAGACTAAAGAGCGTTTTTGTATGTCTTCTAGGTAAAAAAAAAAAAAATTTCGTTCTGATTGAACAATTATTAACAATTTAAAACATAATTCCAAAAAGTGTCAATTAGCCCATTTAACAACAGTTTATCCTTGTCATTCTCTATACAGAATGAAAAGGAGAGACTGATGTTAAATTAAGTTTTAAATTTAGAGAACCATCCAGAATCGGCACCCACCAGTGTCTGTGTCTGATGGTAAATGTTTACCACAGCATGGCAAATGCTTCCAAATTTCCAATGCAGCGACTTCTCCAAGAACTCTTTGTTCTATCTCACGTTCTTAAACAAATTGTATAACAAAATACTCGTTTTATTCGGTATCAAATAACTTCTTCATTTCACTCAAAAAAAAGTACGTAGATCTACTTACTTTTCATATGCAAAATTTACCGATTCTACGTAATTTTCTCATCGGGCCTACGTCTTTTTCAAAATCCGAGTTGGCAACACTGTATCCAAAGCCAGAATAAATAAAAAAAAAGAAGTGTTTGTTTTTTTATGGCGCGGTTTGCTAGCGATTACTTGGACTGTTGTGAATATTGTGTAAATGTGCTTTTTCATGTTTAATTGATATGCTAAGATTTATTTAATCAAATATGATCGGAAATGATATTACGAAATGGTCCCAAGAGGATACTATCAGAATTTTAATAGCATCTGATATCCATTTAGGTTATTTGGAAAATGATCCCGTTCGCGGCGAAGATAGTTTTATCGCATTTGAAGAAGTTTTGTCTCATGCCGTTCAGTTTGATGTGGATTTGGTGTTGCTCGGAGGCGATCTATTTGATCACGCTAAACCCTCGCCCAGTTGCATGTTCAAATGTACGCAGATAATACGGAAGTACTGTTTTGGAGACAAACCAGTTGCTTTAGAATTATTGTCAGATCAACTTGAAAATTTCGCACGTACTGTAAACTATGAAGATCCGAATTTAAATATTTCATATCCCATACTTTCCATTCATGGAAATCATGACGATCCAGTGGGACAAGGCAGCATCAGTTCCCTTGATATTTTATCTATCACCGGTTTAGTGAACTACTTTGGAAAATGGACTGACTATACTCATGTGCGCGTGTCACCCGTCCTTATGCAGAAAGGTGAAACAAAATTGGCATTGTATGGTCTGAGCCACCTCAAAGACCAACGTTTGTCACATCTCTTTAAAGAAAAAAAAGTTGAAATGGAAAGGCCTGATGAAAGCAATGATTGGTTCAATATTCTGACTTTACATCAGAATAGAGCCGACAGGGGTCCCAGTAATTATATTCGGGAAGATGTGCTGCCTTCCTTTCTAGACTTGGTTATATGGGGTCACGAACACGACTGCCACATGGAAGAAATGAAAGGAAGTAAGAGGGAGAGTTTTCAAGTCATCCAGCCAGGCAGCACGGTGGCCACTTCCCTGGCTGCCGGAGAAGCTCTGCCTAAGCACTGTGCACTATTGCAGTTACACAAGACTGATTTTATATTAAATCCCATAGCTCTTAAGACCGTGCGACCGTTTATTTTTAAGACACTGGTATTATCTGAAGAAAATCTCGGCGAAGAAGAGGTTAATGAAAATGAAAAAGTGCAAGAGTTTCTCAAAGGGAAAGTCAACGAAGCGGTAGAAGAAGCAAACAAACTAAGGAGCGGAGACCCCGCTCAGCCTAAACTGCCGCTCGTTAGATTGAGTGTGTTTTATGAACGCGACGGACAAGATTTCAATAGAGTTAGATTCGGACAGAATTTTAACGGAACAGTCGCAAACCCTAACGATGTACTCATCATGAAAAGAGAAAAGAAACCGAGAGACCGGAAAGACAATATCAAATCCGAGGAAGCGGACATCGCCAGCGTCGCCGCCGACGCAGTGGACGTGGAGTCACTGCTTTACGCGTATTTCGAGGCGCTGCCGGCCGACAAGCGGCTCTCCGTGCTGTCCGTCCGAGCTCTCACCGACGCCGTGCGCGACTTCACGCTCAAGAACGACGACGAGGTGTTCCGGCGCGTGTTCGACGCGCACAAGCGACGCTGCGTCCACGCGCTGATGGAGTCCAACGCCGAGACGGAGGAGGAGGTGCACGAGCGCCTGCGCGTCTGCAAGGAGGAGCTGGACGCCGCCGACGGCGACAAGCTCGGCGCGCTGCTGGACGCGGCGCCCAAGCGCGCGCCCGCTCCCAAACCCTCGCCGGCCTCCAAGCGAGGTGGCGGCGGGGTGGTCGTGCTCTCCAGCGACGACGAGGAGCCCCTCGCCGAGTTGTCGGCGCCGGCGCCGGCGCCCCGCGGGCGGGGTCGGGGCTCGCGCGGCCCCCGGGGCGGGCGCGGGTCGCGGGGCGGGCGGGGCCGCGCGCGCGATCCGGACCCGTCGCCGCCGGAGCCGGTGGAGCGCCGCACGCCGCGCCGGACGGCCGCGCAGAAGTCCGCCAACTGGCTGCAGAGCTTGACGCAGAACCGCCGTCGCCGCGCCTCCTCCGAAATCGACGACTCGGACTGATGTCGATCCTAGGTCGATATTTAAACTGGGGTCCGATTGTGTGACTTCTTTGTTTCCTGCGACCCCATAATGTTAAAGTTGGGAAAGAGATTTATAGCTTTGACAAGTCAGAATTAAACATTCTCTAAGCTTTGAAGGGGAAAGCGAATGTGCTGTAGTTAAATAATAATCTTTCCTTGTTTTAATTTTGTATCCTCGAATATTCATATATTCCATAAATTGGTCAATATATTTTTTAATAAACAGTACTCTGTGAATTGGGGTTTTTATTAATGCTTTCACAAGTATGACATGCCAAAACTAATTCCTTTTATTCTCAATCCAGAAAAGCAATACGCAATATGGTACATTAGTATTTCTAACCACTAAAACTGTAATCCCAAAACAACATGTTAAAAAAATCATTGTGTGAACAAATTTTTGTTTTACTTACAAAATATTTCTTCAATTGTAGCACAGTTTAATACGCTTTAAATAATGTTAAAATGTTGGTGGTGTCGATTCTGACAACAAACTAAATTTTGACAACAGTGTAACCTTGTCATTCTCTATACAGAATGAAACGGAGAGACTGATGTTTTAAACTTAGTTTTAAGTTTAGAGAATCATGCCAGGGTCAACACATATATGCATTAGACTACTAGTGGGTGCCAGCGACTTTATCTGGAAAAATTGGTTTTCCATACAAACTTCAACCATTTCACCACCTTGAAGTATGATTTCTGTGATAAAAAGCAAAGTCAATCCCAAGGACTCAAAACTTTTATATACCAAATTTGATCTAAATCGGTACAGCGGTCTAAGCACAAAGAGGTAACAGATACCACACTCCCATTGATAATATTAGTCCTGTTCGGGTTGGAAATAATAAATGATAAACTTATAAAAGTATAAAACTGTATATATATTTGGGAAAAGGGCTAAAAATAACTATAAAATGATAATTGTTATGAGGACGCGCGACTTGATGATTGCGAACCAATTTTGTGTAATCAAATTAATTATGAATTAAAAATAAATATGTAAACGCGCTGATGTGCCGATGTACGCGCTTCTGGTACAAGTATGGATTTTGTCGTTATTACTATAATGCGCTACTTCGTCAGTCAATCTCTAGTCGATAGTTAATACTTTTAGAAAGTTATTGGTCAGGTTAACAAGATAATCTGACGTACAGAGGGGACTTTAAGGCGCTAAGCAGACGACGGGGCGGAGCGGGCTTTTTGTCAATAAAGACCTCGTCTGCCCGTCGATGTCTGCGGCTGCCCGCGCCGCGTACACAAAGCACACGACGGACGGGCAGAGACGGTCAGTTCAGGACGTTCGTTCTAGTGAATAGTCCATCACTAAAAAGCGCGTGGCGCGGACTGAGCTGACCGCCCCGCGCCGCCCGTCTGCGTTACTGCATATAAACTGGTTTGTATGATCCACGGCGGGCAGCCGCGGACATGCCGCGCCGCCAGTGCCCGCCGGGCACCCAAGGCGCGGTCTTTTTGCCCTCTGTGTGCGTTTGTAGTATAGGATTCACTTTGTGCTATTTTTCGCGGCGAAATTGACCGGCCCGCCCCGCCCCGTCGTCTGCAAAGCGCCTTATTGCCTCTTGCCCCTTATTGCTAGTGTGAAGCGTCTAAACGTTTTTAAAATATTAAGCATTGGTTTGAAAAAAACTTTAAAGATGATAATAACGATTAGACATGCGCGAGCACACAGATGCCGCTGTTTGAGTTTAACGTGTTTGCACTTGTGGATCAGTACCAGCTACTAGCTACGGAGCATTAAATTGTGTGTGGCCGATATTCAAGCAAACTGCGCATTTTTATTTAGATTTTGTTAGTAGATATCAATATCTAGATCTGTGTAAAAATCATAACCCAATCGATTACATTAATTTAGCAGAATCAGAGGCTCGACCTTTGACAGCTCCGTAATCGTGTCGCATTCGTCTAAATTTTTATAAAAACTAAGTAACGCACTTCGAAATCTGTGAATCAGCAATGACAGAACGGAATAAAGCGTTGAGAGATTGAAATATACTAAAGAAGACTAAACTGTATATCGTCAGAAACTTGGTCTTTCTCATTTTCCTTTATAGAGTCGAATCATGGACGGTGAAGGTGGCTGATCGAGGATGCATCGATGCTTTCGAGATTTGGTGCTGGCGGCGCATGTTACGTATACCATGAATAGGCTATAGAACAAATACATAGATTTTGAAAGAGAATGTAACACAGACTTTTGAGCGTCTGGCTTTATTTTGGCTACATGGCTCGTAAATCCTCTGATAATCAGGAGAAATTGATCGTTACGGGCATAGATGGCAAAAGAGCTAAAGGTTGCAGCCCTACTAGATGGTGACAAATGACAAAGTATTAAAATGTTTCAGCATCACCATCACCGAGGTTCTCGCATACGTCGACGACCATAAAGCACGACGTTCAGCGTTGAGCTACGAACGGAGGAGGGAGGAACGCACCTGCTGGAAGTATAAACTGGCTCGGTCTATACAAAGGACACCCGGCATTTTGTGCCAAAGTTGTACTTTTTTAATTTTTTTATCTGTGTTTCATAATTGGGTAACGTAGTCTGGCAATATTTGTCATCAGCAGCTAGCTGTCAATGTCAAATACGTAGGTTTGTCATCAAAAGGGTTTCTATATCAAAAAATATTAATCATTAAATAACTTCTTTCCACGATTCACTAAAAACAAGGCAAAAGTAGTTTTATGTAGCAAATAACTTTGGCTTTATTTTGAGACCAAATTCAACTGTATACAAGTTTAGCATTTTTTCTATGAAAAGTGCCGGGTCTCCTGACGATGATGATATGATTATTGAGTTGTCAGAGTTCCTGTTTGGGTCTCCGAACCAAGAGGACGGGTGATTCAGTTTAGAAATAAAACACAAAGACAGTTATATATACATTTATTCAACGATATTAAATACCCCAGATACACCAACACGAACAAAATCGTGGCCGAAACCTGTCCAAAAGGTACATTGAATGATCCACGGAGCTGAGACGATCGCGTAGTCAAAAACAATATATCGCATTATTAAATCATTGAAAGTCACCTTTAACTCATACTGTATAAGGTTTTAATTAAAACGCGTACGTCAAAAAGACACGACAGTTCGAAATACAGTTCGTAAAATTTTACGGCTTACTGCTATATGCGGAAGAATATAGACCTTATTTCTTTTGACTCTACACGCAATTTTGAGCTGTTAGCAAAATAGCAGGTGCGGACCGCGAGGGAAAGAGACGGCTATACTACCGTCCATGCATTTGAATATTACAAATATTTTCTGTTAAGTCATTTTATAGGACGTATCAGAACAAAAATTGCTTCAAATGCGTTAAATTAACAAACATTGTTTAAACACCTGTCGAAAATACGACACTTAACGTACTATAAGTATTTTTTCATATTATAGTAATATAAGTTATTTACGGGATTGTTACCATGTACCTTGTTTTTAGCGAATTTCCGATATTTCGGCACTGTTGCAAGCGCCATGATCACGGAGTAACTGAGAGTTACTGATCGTGGTCATGGCGCTTGCAACAGTGAACAAAGGTACGTGGTAACAATCCCGTATATAACTTATATTACTATAATGTTAGTGACCATGAAAGTTTAAAACAATATATTGTTTTCATATTTTTTCATAGAGCTCTGCGGTATCTTTTCAACGGTCCGCGCGGGACTGCGAACAAAGAAGCGCTCGAGAGCACTTCTCGATTGGGACACATTTTGAGCGCAAGTGGTGTATCTAGGGTATTTAATATGTTTACATTTATTATAACAGAAGGCGGTACAATCTATCCAGTGGTGGAGCTGGTGGTAGAGGCAGATGAGGGCGGTTTTTGTGCGAGAGCCCGGCGCAGGTATCGCAGCGCGGCGGCGCGCGGCAGCTCGGGGTCATTGCCCGCGAATGCGAGCGGGGGCTGCGCGTCGATGCGGACCACGTGAACTCCGCCCGACAATACCGACTCCTGCGGACGAACCCGCAAACTTATTAAACTGAAACTTCTTTAGCCACGCTTGAAATGGCCACTGCCGGATTTAAGGGAGGGCAACCGGGGCGAAAGCCACGGGGCCTCCACAAACGGGGAACCCCCACAATAGACTTCGGAAAAAAAAAGTGTGCGTGTACTAGTGTACACACGTAAGAAGTGAAACTTCTTTATAGCCTTATTTTTTTCGAAAAATGATCTACATGCAACTTTCCAGAAATATATATATAGGCGTGCGCTAAGATTTTTCAAAAACTCACCCACTAAAGGGGTATAACTACACCTTAGCTTGTGTGAAACACGAATATTTGCTGTCGATACTTTTTTTTTTAAAGTTGACAGAAGAAGCAATTGTTGAAAAATGAGGTAAATAGTGCTCTTTTAAAAAAAAGATGGCGCGTAACCAAAAAACGTGACGCGTAACCGAAAAAATGTGACGGTAAATTTTTTTCCAACGCCGATAAAGAAGTTTCACTTCAAAAATCTTTCAAATTCCAACTAGTAAACACTAGTAAACATCTTTTCCTTTGATATTTTCTTTTGCTATTTTACCTACAGCCTACAGTACTTTGTAAATCTAACATACATGATTATTTAATTATATTAATCTCAGGGCCGAATTAAAGGCCCAGGGGCCTCCACAGCAGCTTAAGAAATAACAAAATTTCGATGGGTCAACAAGCATGCAAATCCTAAGTGGCGCGGGGCCTCCACAATCCTAAATCCGGCCCTGGAAATGGCCACGGTAATATCTATATCTATATATATAAAACTCAAAGGTGACCGACTGACATAGTGATCTATCAACGCACAGCCCAAACCATTGGACGGATCGGGCTCAAATTTGGCATGCAGTTAGATGTTATGACGTAGACATCCGCTAAGAAAGGATTTTGATCAATTCTACCCGCAAGGGGATAAAATAGGGAATAAAACTTTGTATGAAACTTGGTCAATTTTAAACCGATCGGGCTGAGACTTTGCATGCAGGTATAAGAAGAATCATAGATGAATGTCATTGTGTATAATAACAGCCCGAAAACTTTGCCATTAAGCCGTTGGTCCCGGCTGCATCAGCATTCGTTAGCACACGCCAATACGCATATGACCCAATCTCCGTATTCTATCCATTGGGAAGGCCTGTGCCCCAGCAGTGGGGGCATTAAGAGGCTGATAATGATGCGGATAATCGTCGCACATACCTGCATGTTGAGCCCCAGCACACGCAGCATTCGCTCCAGCTCTTCCCCTCCACCCAGTTCCAGCTGTCGCAGCGATTCCGAGCACTTGTCCGCCTCTGTGAAACCAATTCCACCTTCACTTCTGATTTATTGGCTAAGGCAGCACACATCAACGGGCGCCATTCGGCAACAAAACAGGGAGAAAAAATTGTGTGTGTCAGCTCCAACGCACGACTGGAGTTTACTCCTCAAGTTCGATAGTCTAACCGGACGCAAAAAGAGTTTATTTAACTTAAAAAAGATTGATACTGTATGAAAGGGTAAATTTAACAAATTAATGAAAATAATATACATATATAAATATAAATTTTTCATTTCATATACATTTATTATAACTATCGACGAAATATTTTACATTAAACTTTTTACAATAGTCAATTTCAGATGTGCATAAATATATCATTAGGAATGTTGATAAATTATGTAATTATTATTATCAGACTATTATCATTTTTTTTAATATTAATTAAATCAACATTGTCTGCATTATTAATTACAGTAACAAGTGCTAAAATAAGACACATGGACGTTCGTAGATAGGTGGTTCACGAATCTTGAAAATACCGCATCAATGGTTGTACCATACCTCGTTGTCCCCATTGCTCTATCAGAAACAATATCTAAATTCAGTTCAGATTTTAATTTTTTTATTAATGTCAATCCGTCATCTTTGTTTGTCAAAGTTGCGCGACATAAGGTGCGCACCAAAAACGTAACGAGGTCATTCATCGATAGATTTTACTCCTCACATTTTTCTCATACCGGGCCCCTTATATATGCAAATCGATTCTTAAGGAGTAAACTCAAAAAACCAGCCCTTGCCGATTCTTCTCAGTACAAGGTCTCCCACCGTAGATTTGCGAACCGATGGCGTAGCTTTACGAAATTCACAAGTGCTAGTAACAGCCTAGACTGAATAAATGATTTTTGATTTTGGTTAGGCTGTAGTGTATTTAGCAAGTAAGCAATATTGATTTATATTAAGTAACGCGCGTGAGTCGCGACGGCATTAATAATTAAAACATAGAATAGTAAATATCTCTTATCTATTAGACAAGTCCGTCCGTCTGTCTGTGGTGCTGTTTCAGCGGCCAAACCGTAAGAGATAGATAAAGAGAATGTTTAAGTTATAAGTTAAGAATAGTCTGATAAGACTACAAACCGGATTTGAGTAACGTAGCACTTCCGGTTTTCGAGAAATCACGAATTTCAAACGAAACCACACAAAATCTCCGAAGTTCTCAATTAATTAAATACATTTTTTTTTAAATCAGGTTTTGGTGAACATTTGGTTCACTGGTTTGTTAGTTTAATATAAATTAATATTGCTTACTTGCTAAATACACTAATTATACACTACAAGGCAGTATTTGTCGAACAAGAAAGCCCGAATCGTAGTAATTATGGCTCGACTACACTAGTTCGTTAGCCTGTGTTCGGATGCACGAAAGACATTACTCGAATTCGGGCACCCGAAGCAATATTTACACTGGAATGCAAGTTGGAAGACGGTGTAGGTTAACCAAAATGAAAACTCATAGGGTATTTGACAGTATTAAAAATAAAGTGCCAATTGTTAGCATCTGTGTTTAGAATGAATATTGGCAGGGGATTTTACTATTTTTACAAAAAAAAAATATTCATAATTTTGCTAAAAACCCACGAAAAAGATAATAGTTTTCTTATCTATTGTCACGTGACCCAAAACGCTTGGGATTGGCGGAGCCTAAAATGACGTCACACGCAAGTAAACTTCCGGTTAAAGTGACATCACATTGTATCGTTTGACGTTTAATAACAGTCGTGTGACGTCACACACTAGTAAGACGCCATATTGTCCAGAGAAACGTTTTCGCGGCAACTTGAAAATGGACCTTTTGATTTGGTTATTTTTCCTGAAATACACAACAGAATGATGAATATCCACTTTTTACGGACTCCATAAACATTAGTCAATAATGTGAGATCGTTTTCTAAAACTTGTCAAATACCCTATTCCATTGGCACTTGTTTTCGGGCCAACGACCAAATGTAATGGCGCCATTACTGCCGAACATTCGATATCTACACATATTCGATTTGACCGATTAATGCCGACCCGCTAATGTGCGTAGCTATCCTTGGGTATTATGAGGATTTAGTCATTTCAGGTTTGTAAAATAATCAGACGAATCGGACTTTAACTGTACTGAAAATAGAGACGCCTTGTTAACGAATAGTGAAATGAAATTATACTTCATTCAAATTGACATATTGGAAAGGTATTATGAATCTTCCAATATTTTTTCGCTTATACAAAGCACGGGCGCAAGAAGAAGTAATAGTTATGAGTTTATTTATTTTTTAAGCATTTAACTGCTAGATGTTTAAATCTAAGGAAAAGTTTTACAAGAAAAAAATCCACGCGGACCAGGCAGCGGACGGGACTCGAACCCGCACCCTTCGCTATCCGGGCGAATGCACTGACCATTATGCTACCACGGCCCTATTAGCCGCGTCGAAATTTTCCTAGCCTTAAGCTGCAAGGCAGCGTCCCGTCCGCTGCCTGGTCCGCGTGGATTTTTTTCTAGTAAACTTTTCTTTAGATTTAAACATCTAGCAGTTAAATGCTTAAAAAATAAATAAAATCATAACTATAATTGCTATTTCTTCTTTCAAATGTTTAATACTTGAAAAAGTATTCATTTGACATTGTGGGTTACCTACAATGCGAAGAGATGGCGCTGCCTTGCAGCTTAAGGCTAGGAAAATTTCGACGCGGCTAATAGGGCCGTGGTAGCATAATGGTCAGTGCATTCGCCCGGATAGCGAAGGATGCGGGTTCGAGTCCCGTCGGCTGGCTGGTCCGCGTGGATTTTTTTCTAGTAAACTTTTCTTTAGAAGTAATAGTGTTTGATTCAGACTTGAGTAAAGGATTCTTTAAATATTTCCCGTTGTACTTTTATCCGTAGTAAATTATCTGTACGAATACCAACTCATCGAGTCTATATATTTCGTTACAGTTAAAGTACCATTTTCGACTGATCGACTTCCATGGATCGATTCGAGCGCCCCGACTGCTCTTGGCAGAAAAGTCAACATCTAATCCTTACTGTAAACAATCTTAATCTGTAAAGAAAAAAAAATAAAAAGGTCAGCATTTACAGAACAAAATATGCGCGTGCGCAGGTTGCAAGACATATTAAGGTATCCAATTTGACATTTGTTTATTGGTACGCACGCTGTTCAAAGTATGGTTCATAGCAATATATATTTGTCCTTTTTCGGTGTACATGTAAAAGTAAGTTTTTTTTATAGATAGGTCCGACAAATGACTCCACCCCACCTGATGTTAAGTGATGGTAAAGTCCAGAAGCGAAGATCTCTTATCTATTAGACAAGTCCGTCTGTCTGTGGTGCTGTTTCAGCGGCCAAACCGTAAGAGATAGATAAAGAGAATATTTAAGTTATAAGTTAAGAATAGTCTGATAAGACTACAAACCGGATTTGAGTAACGTAGCATTTCCGGTTTTCGAGAAATCACGAATTTCAAACGAAACTACACAAAATCTCCGAAGTTCTCAATTAATTAAATACATTTTTTTTTAAATCAGGTTTTAGTGAAATTTGGTTCACTGGTTTGCTAGTAAGATATAAGAGTCGACTTTACGAGTTGAATTTAATCTCCTTGTATGCTCTAGTTGGTGTTTTGAGGCCGAAGCACGAGTTTTTGACAGCTGCGTAAAGTAATCGCCAGATATTTATTCCATAAGCCAGTTTTACAAGAATCGTACAATACAATATACAGTATAGTTTAGAATTAACATTTTATAGTTTCCTGTGTGCCTGTACTAGGTTATAAAAATACCTGTATCACAGACACAGCGCTCATCCCTAAGGACTAGTTAAACAAACTTTATGTAAGGAAAAAAAAAAACAATTCTTGTGAATTAGTTTACCAAAGTTAAATCAATATATTATTTAAGTAAAGGATTGAATTATGTGTTCATTGAACAATTTGAATGGAAAAAGCTATTATATTTTTACGTCCGATAGGGGGGGGGGGGGGGGGGGGCGCTGCTTAGCTTACATACAAACTAAGGCAATATGATATTTATAAGTATGAAAAAAGTCCCATTTATTGTTGGCATCTGTATTTAATATAAAGATTAGCAGCGATTGTACAATTCTTAGAGAGCAAATAATTAATAACTTTAAAGTTTTTTAAGGAAGGAAGGAAGGATTAGCCAGTGAGATGCCATAAAGTCCAGAGAAACGTTTTCGTGGCAATTTAAACTGAAAGGACATTGGGCAAAAATGTATGGAAGCTGCACCCACGTACGCCACGGCTTAAACTACATTTGTTTAAAAGGTATTATAGTCATGATCATCTGCTAAAGCGCATCAAATTTCATCCCGGGAGTCTTTAGTTATTTTAAGTTAAATATGTACAAGTACTATAACGAACGAACACTAATGAAACAAGGGAATTAATTTAGTTAGTTCGACCCTACATAGGGTGCTCAGGAATTATGGGATAACTTCACAAGGTCCTTATGTTATTCTGCCGCGCTAGAGTTAATCCAAAAATCCCCGCATGGGTTGGCTTTTTTTTAAACATTCTGTTCGTTATAGTAAATTGTCTTCTATGTAAGACGGAGCGACCACAGATTACACAAACTTGCCCACGCTTCGGAGAACACATGATTCCAGTTCATCCATACTAATTGACAAAACCGATAATAGTGCTCCAATGTCCAAAGCGTGTTAAATAAAAATCAATCAAGTAGTAGGGAGCGCACAATCACAACGAAGTAAGACGAGTCGACTATTTGTATTTTAACTGCAAGTCCTTCAGCATCCGTAAACCGTTTTGAAATGTCTCAGTAAGAGCAAACGCAGGATGCTCGGCCGGCTTTGTCGTATATCTGGTTGTATAGTACGATATGGCATATTATTATGATTATACTAATAATATAAAATGAAGGTACTATAAAATGAATTTATTCAGCTACTTAAATATGCCCATGTGTCATATCTATTGACTCCCAGGATATTTATTTTCGGTGTCATAATAAAAAAGGCTAGTTTTTCATATATCTATCGATTCATACTAATTACATTGTTGGCGGAGCTGGGTGTGTTTTGCCCATTGTCCTTTTCGATTTAGTTTTTATAGCTGAAATACGGAATAGAGAATGATATAATATCTTTTTATGGACTTTGTACACATTAGTAAATAAAGTGCGATCGTTTTCTAAAGGGCAATGGGCAAAACATAAACATAGTTTGAAAAAACCCCAACCCATGCGGAGATTTTTGGATTTACTCTAGCGCGGCAGAATAACACAAGGGGGCACCCTTGCACCTTGTGAAGTACTCCCATAATTCCTGAGCCCCCTTTGTAGGGTCGAACTAACTAACTCAATTAATTCCCTTGTTTCATTAATGTTTGTTCGTTATAGTACTTGTATCTATTTAATTTAAAATAACTAAAGACCCTCGGGATGGAATTTGATGAGCTTTGGCACAGATGATCTAGGAATGTCGAAAGTTGAAAAAAATATCGATATATCGATACGTCGATATTTTAAAAAAATATCAATATCGGCTTCGATATATCGCGAAAAAAACGTCGATATATCGATATATCGGACCAATTTTCTCAAAAATATATGTAGCACAGTCAGCCTAGCACAGTAATAATAACAATACAAATTATATTTAAAGAAAGAATTAGTACCAAATTGCCGCTACACTACATGACAGTACAGTATCTCACGAAAGACGACACGCAGAATAATAATGGAACGAAAAGTATCTCCCTAAAAGTAGACCCTGTTTTCGAATGATGAAAATGATTGCAGGGTCTCTCAGGTGCCATCTTTCGTAAACAAGACTGGACAGTCACACACTTCCACAGAATATAATGGAATTCACCAGCGAAACAGATTTACAAATCATAGACAATACTAAATACACAGATCATAGATATGTTAAATATCATTAATCTGAGATCCAGTTACGATTTTTCCAGATACGAATTTAGTTAGATCGTGATATGCCGCTAATAATTAAAAAAATATCGTTTTTGATACAAATTTCGATATTGGTTATTTTGTATCGATGTATCGATATATCGAATCAAAATATATCGGTTCAAAATATCGATATATCGAAAAAAAATATCGATATATCGATACATCGATATATTTTAAACAAGCCGAAGATGATCATGACTTGATTGATGATCATAATACCTTTCAAACAAATGTAGTTTAAGCCGTGGCGGACGTGGGTGCAGCGTCCATACATTTTTGCCCAATATCCTTTGTCAAATACCCTATTACGTTACTTTAGGGAGCTGCCAAAACCTGCACTCGGGTGTCCGAGTCTCCGAGTGTCCGAGTCGTCGATATTTCGGCTTGTGAACGATGCAGGAGGTGGATCAGTCGACGTTGGCCGCTGGGAGGGTTACCTACTTAGATTAAAAGAAAAGGGTAGATACGGCACTAGCCTCACAAAAGTGATCCGCATAAATTGTGGTCCACGACCCTAATCGCTTTAGTCACAACTTGACATGCAAACGACGTACATGTGAACGCCAAAAAGAAATATTGATAATATTTCGTGTTTATATGATAAAACGATGCCTGAGTGTGTTTTTAAAAAGTGCTCAAATTGCTCAAGAACTAAAAATAAAACCCACGGCATCACTTTTCATTCGTAAGCACTATAAAATATATTTTTTCATAAAAATTGCTGTTTGTTTTGAATCTTATTCGGTAGTGACGTCGAGTACTGGTCGCGTGATTGGTCGGTAATGCAGTGACGCGGACCTCGCCGTCTCGTTCGCGCTGCCGTCGAAATTTAACGTGCTGTTTCGTTCGGGTCGGTAATGCAGTGACGCGGACCTCGCCGTCTCGTTCGCGCTGCCGTCGAAATTTAACGTGCTGTTTCGTTCGGGTCGGTAATGCAGTGACGCGGACCTCGCCGTCCCGTTCGCGCTGCCGTCGAAATTTAACGTGCTGTTTCGTTCGGGTCGGTAATGCAGTGACGCGGACCTCGCCGTCCCGTTCGCGCTGCCGTCGAAATTTAACGTGCTGTTTCGTTCGGGTCGGTAATGCAGTGACGCGGACCTCGCCGTCTCGTTCGCGCTGCCGTTGAAACTTAACGTGCTGTTTCGTTCGGATCGGTAATGCAGTGACGCGGATCTCGCCGTCCCGTCCGCGCTGCCGTGGGGTCAGTTTTTGTTTAAATTCAAATTCAAACTCATTTATTCAGTCTAGGCTGTTACAAGCTCTTGTGAAAGTCAAACGCTACGCCATCGGTTCGTAAATCTACGGCGGGAGACCTTGTACCGAGAAGAACCGGCAAGAAACTCAGCAAGGGCTATTTTTTTGACGTGACAACGTCTTAAATTAGGTTGCGGCTGGGAGTCACTTATGAAAAAGTGTAACGCTCGGTAACGTTACGATGAGTTTAAGTTTACATGTACAATGTTTTAGTAAACAAAATATATTTCTATAGTTAAAATTTGTGCAATTCTTATTTTCATTCAATTCCTTGTTCCTATTGTGCAATTTAATTATATTCATATCAATAAATATTCTACCGAGAAAAAGACGTTGTCACGTAAAATCTTCGCGCGTAAAACCGACTTTACAGGCAACCATTTTTCTCCCTGTTTTGTTTAATACAGTGTCGTCAATTGAAAGATGACATCAAAAATTGAATACATGTGTTGATGTCAACTTCCATCACATTAATATTATTAATTAACAAAAGTTAAGTATAGCTAGGTACTATTTTTAAATTTAGAAGTGGCGATTAAACAATTTTCAACCAAATCAGCAAAGTAAAACGACAGTCTATTATGTTAAGCCCAAGGTGACTTATCATTTATGAAATCTTTTACAGTATAGTAACCTTTCTTAAGGAGACATGTTTTTATACACACTTTAAACTTATTAAAAGGTAAATTAATTATTTCTTTTGGTATTTTATTACAGTAACATACACCTTGATCCACAAATGAACCAAGAACCTTTCGGAGTCTCAACGGTGGCAATTTGAGTTTATCTTTATTTCTGGTATTGAAATTATGTACATCATCGCGCCTCGTATATAAATTTATGTTCTGACGCACAAACAATATATAATTGTGAATGTATTGAGAGGCAACAGTCATTATACCTATTTCTTTAAATTTATCCCTAAGAGAAGTTCATGATCCCAAGCGATAAATAGCTCGATGCAAGTATGAGCGTACCGTATGTACCCTTTTTTGACGTGACAACGTCTTAAATTAGGTTGCGGCTGGGAGTCACTTATGAAAAAGTGTAACGCTCGGTAACGTTACGATGAGTCTCGTAGCATGCTGGAACCCCGTAGCCGTGTAGCAAGTTTGCTACGAATCGTCGTAGCGTGGTTGCATGCTACGATGGTATTCACAAGCACAATGCATTGTAATATGTTTTTTTGACGTATTATATATATTTCTATAGTTAAAATTTGTGCAATTCTTATTTTCATTCAATTCCTTGTTCCTATTGTGCAATTTAATTATATTCATATCAATAAATATTCTACCGAGAAAAAGACGTTGTCACGTAAAATCTTCGCCCGTAAAACCGACTTTACAGGCAACCATTTTTTTTAATCTAAGGTTACCTACCGATGTGAGTGACCAAACCTAGGTGGTAGTCGGCGATCGTCTGGCCCAGGTCGGGGCGCCGCGTCTCCTCGCGGGACTCCAGGTAGCGCTCCATGGCTTTTTCGTGCGCGCGCACTAGGGCTTCCTCCTGGGCATATAGAGGCGAAAAATCAAACTAATATTATAAAGGCGAAAGTTTGTGAGTATGTGAGTGTGTATGTTTGTTACTTCTTCGCGTCTAAACGGCTGGAGAGATTTTAATAAAATTTGGTAAGGAGTTAGCTGACACCCTAGATTAACACATAGGCTACTTTTATCCCAAAAAAAAATGGGTGCGTGTACTTATGTAGGCGCGTGAGAAGTTATCCTTCTTTGGCATCGTTTAAAATTAGTTTTTAATTGCATGCAAATAATTAATTACAATAAATTAATGAAAAGTCTGGAAAAGGACACAGTCAATAAAGTTCAGTTTTAATTTGAAAAAATAAATAAATAATCAAAATATTCAATTAAAATCGCTACTGAATATAATTTATTAGAACATATGTGATTTGCACTTGTATGAAACTCAAACACGTATTCCGAATATACAAACTAGAAACATGTGGATAAATATTATAAATATGAATACCTATAACTGTTACTTTATTACAAAAAATAAAGATGTGGTTTTTGGTTCTACTACACCAATGGTCAAGAGATGGCGCTGTAGTCTCCAGAATCGCGCTTTGGTTCCGTTGTTCCAGATTAATAAATACTTTTGATAGGCCTTCACAATGCAGTCGTTAGCACCCACTAAATAGAGATTCTATTTCTATTTTGTTGGTAGATTTTCTTAATGTGCGGTAAACACAAAAGTAACGCATGAAGTTGGTCGCTAAAGCGACCAACTTCATGCTGTTAAAATTTTGTGTTACAGTGATGCGCGCGCATCTTAAAATTTCACTCTCATCATTTTTTCATAACGCGCCTAAAGAAGTATAACTTCAAAAAGTTAGGTTCCAGAGGTATTTTCAAGAAACTAAGTTAACGCAGACGCAGTTGCGGGCGACCCCTAGTATACAATAACTAGGTGACCCAGCAAACTTCGTACCGCCATAAAAAATAGGGGTTGGTAGTAGAAAGTTGAAAATTTAGCGATGTATGTATTTTTGTATGATGTATTAAAAAAAAAATTATCAAAAATTGAAAAAAAAAATTTAGGCGTGGATTACCCTTAACATTTAGGGGGATGAAAAATAGATGTTGTCCGATTCTCAGACCTAGCCAATATGCACACAAAATTTCATGTGAATTGGGAAAGCCGTTTCGGAGGAGTTTAACCACAAACATCGCGACACGAGAATTTTATATATTAGATAGGCTGGCATTATCGTGGGGCTATGCTGAGATTATTGTGTAAATAATAAGGTAATGTTTTGATAAAACAAGTAAATTTTGTGAGAAAGAACTTTTACATTGTGTTGGCATACGCCGAGGTAAGGTCTCGACCGGTCGTCTTAGATCACTACTCACTTTTTCGTTCTTTAGGTTGAGTTTTTTTCTATTAAGTTTTCTTTTTGTTAAGATGGCCAATAAAGGTTTTCGTTCGGCTGCGATCGTTGAAATTAAGCAACTTTCGCAGTGGTCGATCATTGGATGGGTGAACAAATATTTACTATCTCGAGCTTCTCCGTGCTTCGGAAGGCACGTTAAGCCGTTGGTCCCGGCTGCATCTGCAGTCGTTAGAACCCGCCAATCCGCACTGGGCCCGCGTGGTGGGTCATGGCCCAATCTCCCTATTCCATCCATAGGAAAGGCCTGTGCCCCAGCAGTGGGGACATTAATAGGCTGATGATGATAAACATGAATTTACCGGCTTCCTATCCACGGCGTTGCTTGCTAAAACTTTCGTTATTCGTTTACGCCTTAGAGAATTAAATTTTATATATACATAATTCAATTTCAGTATTTTAAAATTATTAGATCAAAAGTTCTCAGCCATTTCCCATGGGGTAAAAAAAAGTCCAATATTTTTATCAGCATAAAAAATTAGTAAAAGAACATTCGATTTTTTTATTTATTTTTTAAGCATTTAACCGCTAGGAAAATTTCAACGTGGCCATCAGGGCCGTGGTAGCATAATTGGTCAGTGCATTCGCCCGGATTGCGAAGGGTGCGGGTTCGAGTCCCGTCCGTTGCCTGGTCCGCGTGGATTTTTTTTTCAAGTAAAACATTTCTTTAGATTTAAAAAAGAAACATTCGAATTTCGAGATCCAATAATTTTACTACGGGGGCGAAAACACACACTTCATATTTTACTACACATAAGACGAATTTTCCGTTAAACGTTATTTTTTTTTGTCAAATTTTCTCTTTTCACGGAAGGCAAGGGGAACAATACCCATACAGCCTAGTCTTAAGTTAAATTATTCTGTTTTTCTTTTTACATTAGAATGTCGGTGTGACGCATTCTAATGTATCTTGAAGTGTTTGGCACGAAATGTATCGAGTTGGCTTTTTCGATAAGCTTCTGTGAGGTAGTCAATACTACAATAAAATCCTCACGTCCACTTGACCGGAATAGCGTATATTTCGACGATTCCACTAATTCTTCAGTTACGCAGACAGTTGTAACACAAAATCACACCAATTTTATTTCACAATATCCACTATGAACGAAATTAAGAACAATTAAAATAAGACGCCGACCACACTCGATGAAATCCCGCCAAAAACCATAACCTCTTTTATTAGAATCTGTGCTTGTATCGTAATCTTAAATATAATTTTTTTATTAATTTTCTCTCCTGGGGGCCAATCGCCTAACCGGATCGCTTTGGAAAACGCTATCGCTTACGATTTCATTTTGTTATTTCTAGCCCCCCGAGGGTTTCAAACGCCTCGCGCTCTTTTTTTTTCTTTTGCATCGGTAATAACAATGTTAAAGAAAACGAGCGTGAGGTATTTCGGCGGTCAGAAATAACAAAACGAAATCGTAAGCGATAGCGTTTTCCAAAGCGATCCGGTTAGGCGATCGGCCCACCGTTCAACGCTATCCGAACATAAAGCCGGGACCCACCTCAACAAAGTCAGCGGTGAGCCTGGCCAGGTTCTCCCTCAGATAGGTGTATAGTTGCTCGGCGGCCTTCTGTCGCGCCGCCTTCTTGGTGGTGGCGGTGGCCTCGCTGGTGCGGTGCCCCACTCGCGCCTGCACCGTGAAGTGCCTCAGGTGGGGCGGGCCCGTGTCCCCCACCAGCGTGTACTCCACCCCCGGCAGGCGGTACTCCGTCCCCAGCTCCTGCAGCAGCGCTACGTAGCTGCGCGACCCGCCCGAGACACTGCTGCTACTGCCCCCCGCCTCCCCACCCTGCCCCGTCTGTCGAGCCCCCACCCCCACCCCCGCCCCTGCCTCCACTGCCGGCCCGCCCGTTCCGTCCTACGTATAGAAGTAAAACGACCGATTTAAAAAGTTCTAAACGAAATGTTGCCGTTTTAAACCCCAAATAAATCGTTTTAAACGGTCGAAAACTGGCATACAAAGTCTTGAACACAGGCGAAAAGTTGCCTCTTTATCGGTTTTTTACCGGTTACATTTCGGAGAGTGTGCTTCGGAGTTACATAACTTAATTCCACCTTCACCTTTTTACCACAGAACCACCAGAGAGACGGCAAAACGCCACAGATATACCGTAGAGGTCCCACAAACTCGTACTAAACGGTTTGCTTCCACCTATATAGTTAGAACAGCTAGGTTGTGGAACTCTTTGCCGGAATCTCTGTTTCCAGTCACCTATAATCTGGGGCTCTTCAAGTCGCGAGTCAATCGGTTTCTTCTAGGCAAGCGCGTCCCACCTTAGGCTGCTACATCGCTTTCCATCAGTTGCGTGGCCGTCAAGCGTAAGCCTATTTATTGTAAAAAAAAAAAATACAAAAATAAAAGAACTATGGTTTTTTACACTTCAACAATGATTTTTTTTTATTTACCAACACAGAGTTTTTAACTTATGATAAGAGTTTTTGTAACTTAGGTAGGTATTACCTACGCTCGGTCGCGGATGGACCGACTGGAACTAAACTCGCTAAGTACCTATATCAATATCGGTAAGTACACACGTTCAAAAATCTTTATACAGTTCATAGGTACTCCGTTATATTCCTACCTCGGTAAAATCAAGACAATACAGTTATAATTAAGAAAAACATGTCGTCAACACCGACCGTTTTAAATCGAAAAAAATGGTTTATTTCGGTTTTTAACGGTTTTTTTCGTTTTAAAGGGATCGGTTTAATTGGTTTTAAACCGGCCTTACATCTATAGTCCTACGCACAATGTGAACATTCAAAACTACAGTATACGTCAAAAAATAATAATTTGCACAAAACAAAACAGTTTGCACTTTTAAAGTTAAATACAGGAAATATTTATTGGACGTGCAAAAGTTGTAATGAGGAGCACCATTGCATACGCTGTCCCGGCCAATAGGATAAATTTACTTTGTTACAACAGCCATTTTCGCAATTGCACTCCCAAAAACTCTTGTTTGAGAAGTTCGATATCGTAGATATTTACCGCGTTCGGTTTGCAATGGTGAAACATAAACTACTTTTGCAATGGCCGTTTATTAGACCGGTGATCAAAAACCTGTTATCTAGAGCCCCTCCGTTCTTCGGAAGCCATTGATTCTGTTTTTGGCTGCATCTGCAGTTAGTTAGCAGCACCCACTTATCTGCACTGGGCCCACGTTGTAGCCGATGGTACATTTTGCCTATTCCATTCATAGGCAGGGCATAATCAACACCTAAGAGTAGATTGGTCAAACGATTCACAGTGTGACTGGTTGGGAATCATTTTAAGAAAGGTCTCCCAACATGTAACATGTGTGACTGGTTGGGAATTATTTTAAGAAAGGTCTCCCAACATGTCACATGTGTGACTGGTTGGGAATTATTTTAAGAAAGGTCTCCCAACATGTCACATGTGTGACCGGTTAGGAATTATTTCACAAAGTTCTCCCAACGAGTCACAGTGTAACAGGTTACAGTGTGACTCATTGGGAACAAAGGGGCAGTAGCTGTCAGGACATTAATAGACTACTAATGATGAATTATTGTTTAAAAGCCGAATGTAAAAATAGTATTATATGCTTGTTTTAATACCTAAGTAAAACAGTTGCATACGAGACTTTACCCCCATGATATGAATCCTTTATGATAGATTCGTAAACTCTGGTATGTTCTAAGAACTTAAAATTCATGAAATGTTTAAGCTCTGTGGTAGTTAAGCGCACTTGAATAACAATGTTCTTTTTTTTAATTCATTTTCAATTCATAATGCTACGCATCCAGCCAACGATATTTAATACCCTAGATGCACCATGTGCGCTCAAAGTGTATCACAATCAAGAAGTGCTTGAACACCACTCAAGCACTTCTTGGTTCACAGTCGCGGACCGTTGGAAAGTCAAGATGCCGAAGAGCTCAGTGAAAATATGCGAAAAATTCTTATAGTACGTAAGTGTCGACGAAGCAAGTTTTGTTCTAATACTTACTATAAACTGATTTAATAGAAAATATTTGTGATATTCAAATGCATTGTCGGTTATATAGCCGTCTCTTTTTCCCGCGGTCCATACCTGCTATATTGCTTACAGCGCTTCAAAATTGCACGTAGTCAATAAGAATAGTATAGTCCTAAAATTTTACAAGCTTGCATTTAAAACTGTCTTAACTCTTTGACACATGCGTTCGAATGAAGACCCTATACAATATGCATTAAAGGTGACTTTCACTGTTTAAATAATGTCTTTTATTGTTTTTGACTACAAAATCATCTTATGGAGTTCCGTGGATCGTCCAATGCACCTTTTGGACAGGTTTCAGCCAAGATTTGCTCGAGTTGTTATATCTAGGGTATTTAATGTCGTTGCATCCAGCAGTGAAAATTGTATCTGTCTGATGAGATAGCCCTTGGCGCGGAAGGTAAGCGAAGGAGTGTTATAATGAAATTTAATTAAAAATAATAATTTTATTTGTGACCTTGGATGTTTTAATGTTGGCAATAATCCAACTGTTTCAGAATATTTAAAAGCGGTTTTAAAGCATGGGTTGACATAAAAATATCAAGAAATCAAAATAATGTCGAGTAAACGGGCATAATACCACGTATAATATGTATGTATATTTATGTTTGTATGTATGTATATGTGTATGTATTAAACGCTATTTAATTTTGTTTTTTCATTGTTTGATGTTTGTTCTTTCCTATGATTGTCTGCCGTTTTATTGACTCTGCACATTCTTTCCGGTTGACTGGTAGAGAATGCCATGCTGGCATTAAGTCCTCCATATGCAATGTAAAGGCATTAAAGATTAAATAAATAAATACCGGCGCTCGGTCGTGCAGGCCGTAGGGCGCGGGCACCAAGTGTCCCCGGGCCGCGAGCGCGCGCAGCATGAGGCGCGCGGCCTCCTGCTTGGCTTCCTTCTTGGAGCGCGCCTGGGCCGTCACCATAGCCCCCAGAGCCGCGCACCGGTACTCAAACATCGCCTGGTGCTCAGGCCCTGACTATAACACGTCCCAACTTTGTAATCTTGACCCTAATAGTTTGATTACTCAAACTTGATGCGTTACATACCGGCACTTGGTTATTCATGTTAGCTATTTGTAAACTTGACATCAGTTTATCCTTTACACATCTTATGTAATTTTACAAATAGCAAATATGAATAGCTAAGTGAAGTTCCAGCATAACATTTCGAGAGACCGAGAGACAACAAACTTCAAAGATTGAATTTAAACCAATCAGGGTAAACGAGGGCAGAGGACTGTTCCTTTACCATACACAAAAGTTGGGAAGTTAGTGTATTATTGATACTAACTCAAACACCAGAATAGTTCAAACATAAGAGAATTTATTAATATCCCGTAATTATTGTGAGAAGTTCAAACTTAAGTCCTATGTAACAAATTAAATGCAAATTAGAAATTATATCAGGCGTAAGAAATTCAAATACTCTATGAAAACAAATTACAAATTCTTTATTTGATACAATAATTTCCGATACAGTATTGCGATTGGGAATTTCTTTTAAGTAAATATATACTTGTATTAGAAATTCCCGCTCTCCGTGCTAAAAGACATGGTACATTGAATTATTGATCACCTTAATATTTTAATAATAATGATATAAAATCTAAAAAGTAGCAAAAAATTTTTTTTTTTACCAATATTTCTTTTAGTCGATTTGTTTGTCTGTGCTTATGCATGCTTGTATGTGGGTGTATGAGTGTGTGAGTGTACGTGTACGTGTGTGTATTTATTGTTTTAAATTTATAACATTAGAATAGTAATTTAACATTATTTGTGTTCAATAACATTACTAGCACATAAAAGAAAACTAATCTTTTAAATTCTTAAGCCTGGCTTTTTGAAACGGAACTCATATGCTCTAATATTAATTCGGTGTTAAGAGCCATCTGTTAAATCCAAATCGTTTGCCACTGCTAAGAAAGGCACAAAACTATCTATACATAGACATAAATACCAAATAGGTGTAACTGCTTTTCTAAATGTGTTTTAAAATGAAGTTGTGACCAGCTGCACTAAGCAGGTGAAAAATTTGTATCCTCCGTGTCCTTCTGGAGAATGTAATTATTGCACCACTATGCAGAGAGGTTTTGCAAGACTTTGGGGTGATATCATTATGAGTATTTTAATTGGTAAAAGAAAATGATAACATCGGCACATATCTCATTAGCTACTTACAAAACTCTGTTAACAAGAAGATGACACTTTGAAGAGGTCAGTCTTTGGCTGTGTGACCAGCTTTTTAGACTAACCTGCGATATACATTCGTAGTCAGGGATCTGACTCATTTTCACCATCATCTCCTGCAGCACAGTCACAGCTGTCTTCATGGTGAGATCTGAGAACAGCATTGTGGACAAATATCACTTATTATGTACCAACATTATTACAATGAAGATGTAATGTGGTGAGACATTTTGGAATACAGCCAAGTCAGTGTTATTATATTTTGTATAAATAGAATACTTTCATATATGTACATTTTAAGTACCTATCTTAATAGTTATAATTTTTATTTTTTAAGCATGTAACAGCTTGATGTTTAAATCTATTTGGGTTAGCTAATTAATTGTGGGCTAACTACAATGCGAAGAGATGGTGCTGCCTTTGCAGCTTAAAAGGCTAGAAAGAATTGAACACTGCCGTCAAGGCAGCGGTAGCATAATTGGTCAGTGCATTCGCCCGGAATAGAAAATGGTGCCCGGTTTGAGTCCTGTCTGCTGCCTAGTCCGTGTGGAATTGTTCTCTAGTTATATTTTCTTTAGATTTAAATCTTTCTTAAAAGCTAAATTGATATTATATTAACCTAAATAGTTGTCTCCAAATTAAAAAATAACGAATACCTATATAATACTTTTGTAACAAATAAACAGAAAACTACTTAAATGTGTTCTTGAGCAAAACATGAAAAAAAAAAACTGTTGTATATTATGTAATTTTATTATTTTACATTAATATTTTTGTAAACATTATTGTTACAAGAAATATTGAGTATAAACATGTTACTTCTGCTGTTAGCTTGGAAGTTAATCTAGTTACTTATAACTAATTGTGAGAGCTGTTTTTCCAAAATTTATCATCAGGAATTCATTTTAAATCTTACTTCCAGAAAGTATTTTTATCTACTGCATGTAAATTTACTTTCTTCATGCCTAAGTTAAAATACCTACCTACTTAAAATGTTGACGAGTATTTTTCTTTCTTCAAGAAATAATTGTATACTATGTAGGTCCTGTCAAAATATATATACAAACTTGTGTAAAGACGGTTACTGCAAGCACAGGCTGAGAAGTTTGTCAGTGCTTACACCTACTCGTTGTAATTGGTACAACCTTCAAATAAATCGCAGTGGCTTGTTTAGTGAAAATTGAAAAAAATAAGTAGGTAGCGGTTATTCCCCTTTTACGGAGTACGGAGATTAGTAATATTTATAAAGGCACAGCGAACGAGAAATTTTAACCAAATTTATTATTACCTTCAATATGTATTATATTATGTATCTATTCTTAAAAACACCTTCGAGAATAGCTACTTTGCTTACTTTTTATTTATGTACCCATTAAAAAATTAAACTTAAACTTAGAAACTAATAAATTTAAAAATAGGTATTTTGGTTTGGAAAGAAATGTCAGTGTTTTTTATTTATTTATTGGCAATGGATACATTGGAAATGTCAGTGTAGTCAATCAGTGTTGCCAGGTCCGATTTTTAAAAATCGGGAGGCATTATAGAAAAATGCCTTCTTTCTTCCTTCCTTCTTTGGTAAATCAAATCAAGATATAGGCCAGTAACGAACGTATTTAACATGCAATTTAAAAAAGATAATCGTATTCTAAGAGAAACAGTCAACAACAACGTGCGTGCAGTGTTCTTGGAGAAAAACAGAAGAACAGGAGAAATTTCAATTTTAGAAAAACAGAAAAACCGATAAAATCGGGAGACCTGGCAACCCTTCTGATATCTGACATTGGTGTCGATTTTAGCATGATTCTCTAAACCTAAACTTAAATTTGACAGCAGTATATCCTTGTCATTCTCTATACAGAATGAAAAGGAGAGACTGATGTTAAATTTAGTTTTAAGTTTAGAGAATCACGCCAGAATTGGGCCCATTGTTTGTTATTCAAGTCCCTAAAAGGAAAGCAAAGGTTACGAAGTTCATACAGCTTCATATCCAGTTTTTTTATATTCAATCAAGTTATCGTGTGTGATCGTGGGGTTATGGCGGGCCGTACATAGGCATAGGTAGTTTTCCAACTACAGCACTAGAGCGCTTAATGCGGCATAATGCTTAACGTTGAATGTTTCAACTACAGCAAACCTTCGCACAATCGAGCACTCTCAAAAGTAATGTTTTAGTGTGATGCGTGCAATCGTACCAACTCATTGACAGAAAATTAACAAGTGTTTTTTCTTTATGTTTTATTTATTTATTATCGTTAGTAATATTATTTATTGTTGAAAAATTTTTAAACCTTTCGTTTCATTCTAGTTTCTTTTAAATAATCAAAGTTAATTCAAACTCTGTTAAAAAAATAAATATAAGTATGTATGAAGGTACAAACATTGACTTTTTTATATTTGTTTCTTTATTTATTGACGTTTCGCAGCCTTTACAGGCTGCATCATCGGAATCAATTTTTTATTTCATTTTGTCAAGCTGCCTTCGAAAGACTTTTATTGAGCGTTCGGTTATTTCAATGTTCGATTTTTAAAGTTTTATTGTCTATGTATGATTTTTTTACTTATTTAGTTAATAAAGTACTTTATTAAAAAATATATTTTTTGTAATTTTGAGTTTATTTATTTGCCCTTAACTACCGTAAACTACCACCGGTTCCAAAATTGGGAGACCTTTCTGAGAAGAACCGGCGAAACAAACTCAAGAGAGGCTTACTATCTCCTTCTTCTGTTAAATTATGCAAAGAAAAAGAACTAATAGTATCTGTTGGTCTTGCAGTGTGTGCTCGAGGTTGGGATTTTATCTCCTGTATAATGGGTTCCCAAGCTGGTGGTATATACCAACCATCTTCCCTATTGAAATTTGGATATTTTTTTTATCTCAATAGCCTCGCGTATCATTCTAGGAATGAATCGATGCTCAGTTGCAAGGATCTGTGGTTTATCAAATCTAATCTAATGGTTTGGTCCCCCTAATGCATGTTCACACACTGCAGAATTATTTTCGCGCCTATGTTTCATATCTGCGATATGTTCTTTTACCCGAGTCCCTATACTCCTCTTTGTTTGCCCGATGTAGGAGAGCCCACAGTCGCATTCAAGTTTGTAGACACCAGCAACTTGAAAGGGTATATTGCACTTGACCGGTCGTAGAAACTGGTTGATCTTTTTTGGCGGCTTGAAGTAAGTATTGATTGAAGCACGCTTCAGAATCCTCCCAATCTTGTCAGTGACTCCTTTCATGCAGATTTAAACAATTTTGAAGGCAATTTGAACCTCTACCCCGTGATTTTTAAACGAGGCATAAGCTTACTAGTTACGCCATGTTTTGTTCATATCACTCAAATGCCAATTCAGGAGCGCCTGTTCAAAAAAAATCCGTATTTACTAATAGTTTTTTTTCGTGAATCCTACTGGTATTCTAAGATCCTATCGCAGCCTGTGTTTAGTCTTCATCGAAATTGATTATTTCCCCTTCTTTGCGGTTCTATTCAAACGGTGAAAAGTTTTTGTTCGACACAATATTTTTTTATCAAACTTTTCGAAGTTTTTTTTTAATTGTAAGCTACATTTATGCCAAATATATTAAGCAACTTGGCATTGATTAATTGTCATTACTTTTTAAGATAAAAAATCATGCATTATGGCAAACTATAGAATTTTGCATGTTTTTTTTATGTTAAAAAGTAATGACAAGTAGTCAATGCCAACTTATTTTATATATTTTGGCATAAATGTAGCTTCCAATTAAAAAAAAACTGCAAAAAAATTATTTGTTGACTGAACAGAGATAAAAAATAAAGTAATCAATACAAGCTTATTCTATGTCTATTAATAAGGGGGTAATTAAAAAAAACGAGCGAGCCTTAGAGCCTGTCCAGATGACGCATGTTACACATCAATTTTTTTATATAATAGTGTTAATAGATTTAAAATAAAAGAAACATTATATATATTTTTTAGTAATTCATACATCTTGTTTGCGATTGAAAATTAAAGCGTATCCCAAACTGCTGAAGTCATAACAAAATTATATACATTTTCATTCCCTTGTTAGGAAACCTGATAGTAAGTTTAACCGTACATGTAAATTCCTCCTGGACGGACTCTATGGACGTCCAGACTCTATCGCTATAGAGCCAGAGTGGACGTCCATAGAGTCCATAGTTTATAGAAACTAGGGCAAATCCGGGTAAGGCCGGGCGGATGGCAGCCCTACTTACTATGTAAGGTAAGTGCGCCTAAAAAGGGCCGGTTCCAAATAAGGTCCATCTTTTCAAACTTCCCGCACTTAATATTTAAACCAAAACTGATTTTGCGCAGCGCCTCCCCAGTAAACAATCATAAAAGCGCACCGACGTTCATTGCCTCCGCGCCGGCCATTTTGGCAGTGGCTCTGTGTATAACCTCAGGTGCAGTCGACGTGACTGAACGAATAAAATATTCTGATCCAATTTTGCTTTGTTTCAGTAATAAAACTCGGTGTTATGTAATAATTTTGCAATAGTAATGTTAAAATACTTTCATAACGTGGATTGACGGGATAAGTTACTAAAATTATTGCTTATTTATCTAAATTTTGTTTCATTTTCTCAGGACACATGTGATTGCCTAAGAAGGTCCAAGTTGTTGTCTACAAATAAGGGCCGGCCCTTATTGGTTTACGATATTTTAAAATAGGCTTGATCAGTTACATAAATGACTTATATGAGTGTAAATAAGCAGCCTGGCTTAGCAAGTGGCATTTATATACGTTTATTTTGATTACTGAATAGAAAATATATTTAATAAGGATAAGTATATACACACTGAACCTTTAAGTTCAGTGGTTGCCGTGTTACCTGTTAGAAACACTTAATAAGGTCCACACTATGATTAAATAAGTGTTATACCTAATAAGGTCCCAAGATTAAGACTGAAAAAATAACTTTTAGTGTTTGTCTTTAGTAAAATTATTAAAAATTTGCACAAACCTTCAATTTGTTTCATTTATAGCTAGAAAATATATATATATATTTCGTGTGACTTTATAAGGGCCACAATACTAAATTATATGAATTACCGTTTTAATATTGGAAAGCCATGAAGTTGAAAGTAGTTTAAAGCCGTTGCTTAATCTAAAGATTTATTTTTTCTGATACTCAACGTCTGAAATCTTGCAGTTCAATCATGGACCTTAATTCGAGCCCTAGTACACAATAAGGACCATAAACAAGCTTTTAAAAAACTTTTTTTGTAAATAAATGGTCATTCGTGTGTTGTTTTTGTGCAACGTTTTCTTTTCAAATAAAAACAGTTTGGTTGATCATGACGTCGTACTAATTATCACACTTCCAAACATTGATTTATTTCGATTTCCAAAAACCCGGCCCTTATTAGACGCAATTACCTTATGATAGTCGGAAAGAAGTTAAGAAGGCACAAAAATTAAGAAAAATAGAGTTGTTTTTAGCTTTTTACAATATAAGGCATGTCCATTCAGCTGGCTTGGGTCTGCAGGCAGGGCACAGTGATGGGTTGGGGCGCGGCGAGTGCACGGGCGCGCAGGGCACGGGCCGGAGCCGCGCCGGCTTGGGGCGCAGCAGCTCTATCAGCTCGAACAGCGTCAGCAGGAACATGTACGCGAACACGAGCCACGCGGCACCGCGCAGCAGCTCGCGTGTGAAGACGGGGTCGGGTAACGTGCGGACGCGGGAGCTGGCGGCCCGCATGGCTCCGGCTCAGCGCGCCGCCGGTTCAGCGCGCCACCGGCTCAGCGCGTTGCCGGCTCAGCGCGCCACCGGCTCAGCGCGTTGCCGGCTCAGCGCGTTGCCGGCTCAGCGCGCCGCCGCCGCCGCACGCGCGCGGCTCCGCAGTAGCCACCGCCCCCAGTACAGCAGCGAATGCACGCCCAGCACGCACGCATACACGAACAGCACGCGCACTACAGCGCAAACCACCGTACTACCCACGTCTCCGCGCGAACTCTCCAAGTTCTTCTTGCGTTTCATCACTTACGCTTGTCGGGATAGCGATGTGAGTTGTTAATGGCTAGAGCGAGTCATGTTTCGATTTGCTTGAAAATGCAGATTTATCGCTTAAATTTTATCATGGCACATACAAATTTTTGAGACAAATATCACTACATTATTTACTGTTTGATGTAGGTGAGACTTGGTGACATGTCAGTGGCACCCGTGGGCATCTTCACAGGGTGACACTGATGACGTTAAGATGACACTGACAAATACCCACAGAACACAGAAAGAGGTTTCTGTGTTCTGTGCAAATACCAGTCCGTAGCATGGACTAGGGAATTCGCAGGATTTCGCTACGTTTGTAGTGTCGGCGTCGTCGTAGCTATTCTGAGGTCGTAGCTCTTTTTTTGTGGTGTGTCGTAGCCAGCAATATCCTTCGTGTCAACAATTTCGTAGCGCTCTCGTAGCGTATCGAAATCGTTGGTTTGGTTTGTCTATGCATGGGTCCGTAAATGGTCCGTAGTTACATTCATTAGCTCAGAA